GGACTAGTGTTAAAGGAAAGATCCCATTAAGACTTTGACTGGATGGAAAAATGGCCAACTTGAATTCACCCACTGAAGAGCGCTAAGTAATTAGAGACCAAAAGTTCTCGTAATTGAAAACTTAAAGTTCGGAATAGTACTAGTGATGTTGCAGATTGTGAAAAAATAAGAGAAAATAGAAAGCTAATAACCTGTTGGAAAAATGAGAAGTGATTTTTGAAAGATGGATTGCACGAATAAATGGCTTTGTCTAAACGATCAAACCCTGAAAAAGAGGAAACCAATATTGCCGTTTGCAAAGTCTTCATATTAGAATAACATCTTGAACACATATACTTTCTTTTTCAACGCCAGCAGTCAAACCAAAGGATTTGGCTATGTCATTTAATTTAATTTAATTTAATAACTTCTAGAGCGCTATTTTCATTCAATGATCAACAGCGCTTAACAACTTAGAATACTACAGTAAATTCAAATTTATAAAACTAATTACATGTACATTAATATTAACAATGTATGTTAAAAATAAGAATAATATGGAATATCCATAATAAGGATCTTAATTAGGAATAAGGATCTTAATAAGGAACTTAATTAGTAATACTAATAAAAGTAATTGTCAGACAGGGTACTTTGAGAAAGCTGCACGAAATAAATAAGTTTTCAGCTTACATTTAAAAATGGAAAATGATTGAATATCACGTAATTCAGCTGGCAGAGCATTCCATAAGTACGGGGCAGCAGCAGAGAATGATCTGTCCCCCAACGTGGCAAGCATTTTCCCCTTAGGAGGGTCAAGTAATAAACTTTGATTTGATCTAAGATTATATACAGACCTAGGCTTGATGTTAATTAGTTCAATGATATACCTAGGCGCCCATCCATGAATAGCTTTAAATGTTAAAATTATGATCTTAAAATGAACACGATGTTGTACTGGTAACCAGTGAAGTTGACAAAGCGCAGGAGAAATATGCGAATACTTACTTAAACTCAGTACAAGTCTAGCCGCAGCATTCTGCACACGTTGCAATTTGGCTATTTGCGACTTAGGAAGGCCATACAAAAGTCCATTACAATAGTCTAAACGACTAGTGATAAAAGCATGAATAAGCGTTAATAACGAATCGCGAGATAAATAATTCTTAATCCTCCTAATATTATGTAGGTGATAAAACGCGGAATTACAAATTTTATTAACGTGCGTTGACATTGACAACGTATTATCAAACCATGCGCCGAGATTTCTAACACAGGAACTAGGATAAATATCACAGTCACCTACGGAAATATTCCATTCATCGTTGATCTTACCGAATTGTTGTCTAGTTCCTATTAAGATCAACACAGTTTTATCGTCATTAATCATTAGCCTATCCCTAATCATCCAATTTCTTAAATCACAAATACATTTATTCATAGCACTGACAGCTTCATCACGACTAGACTTATCATCAGACTTGAAACTAAGATACAATTGCGTATCATCAGCAAAGCAATGCACACTAGGAAGATGTTTCTTTATGATAGCAAATAGCTTTGATGCATAAACTATGAATAGTAAAGGTCCAAGGCAAGAGCCTTGTGGAACACCACAGTCCAATTCAAAATTATTGGACAGAGTACCATGTATAGAGACCCGCTGGCTTCTTTGAGAAAGATAGGAGTGGAACCATTTGAGAGCATTCCCATGGAAACCAACATCATTATGCAAACGATCGAGCAACACATCATAGGACACTGTGTCAAATAGTGCGCTAAGATCCAATAGAACCAATACCGTTACATGTTGGGAGTTCATCTTTAAAAGAATATCATTCATTACTCTCAGTAATGCAGTCTCAGTACTGTGGTATTTTCTATATGCAGACTGGAATAAGGGATAAATGCTATTTGCCATCATATGTTCATGCAACTGATTGAAGACAGCTCTTTCAGTAAGTTTTGACACATACTGAAGATTACTGACTGGCCCATAGTTCTTAAATACCAGATCAAGACCGGTCTTCTCTAATAACGGATTAACCAGTGCACATTTCCAGTTTAATACGAACGAACCAGACTCCAAGGACAGATTAATGACTTTGGTAATAACGGGAAGAAGCACGTCAATACAGTTAATCACCAAAGACGTTGGCATGGGATCCAAAGTACAACTTTTCTTAGGAAAACCTTCAATGAGTTTACGCACATCTCCTTCTAACAATGGTTCAAAATGATCCATCAAAGCTCCAGACCATGATTCAGTATCATCGCTAAAAAATTCTAATAAGGCTGAAAGTGTTAATTTATCAAGCTTAGTGTGAATCGTTCTGATCTTATCAATAAAGAACGTGCCCATCTCATTGGCAAGAGTTAATAAATTATTTGATGGTGGAAAAGGAACAACATGATCATGCTTCAGTAGTTTCTTATTTGCCGTGAACAAATCCCTCGGATTGGAACTGTTCTTATCGATGAATTCCTTAAAAAATTCACGACGCACAGTATTCATAAGATAAGTGGTGTAGTTCCTCTCAGATTTAAATTCCGAAAAATCAGAAGCACAGCCAGTTCGGCGCCATTTTTTTTTTCTGCCCTTCGCCTTTCCTTCCTCGCCCGTTTAATATCATCATTAAACCAGGGCACAAGAGGTCTGATTTTAAATATCTTAGTTAACAGCGGAGCATGACGATCAAGAAGTGAAGAAAGAGTTGAATTATAACATTCAACAAGATCATCTAGGGTGTTAGGACTATTCAGGCACAACTTAGTTTCCGCCAACTCATCACGTAAAATTTGCCGATCAATATCTTTAATTTTCCTGTAGGATATTGTTTTTGTTGGTAAGGCCGGTTTCTCAACATTGAGATCACATAAGATAGAACAATGGTCTGATAGAAAGTAGTCATTCGTGGAAGCACTAGCCAGAACAACGTCACATTGTCGAGTGATAATCAAATCAAGGGTGTGACCCGACCGATGCGTCGGTTTATCCACATGTTGGAGGAAACCCATAGATTCAAGTAACTCAAGAAAAATATCACTATCTGGATCACTCAGCTGATCAACATGTATGTTAAAATCCCCGGTTATCAGCAACAGTTCAGACGACATAATAATGGATTCCAAATATGTAGAGAACTCCGCGATGAATGTTCTGATAGAAACTGGATGGTTTGTCGAATATGGTGGACGGTAAATAATAATAGTCCGTAGTGTAAAGGATCCATGCTTTACAATCCATTCTGAAAACTCGAAAGAATTACGATCACCGGCATCAACTTTATTTACATTGATGTTATCTCTGAGCAATATAGCAGTTCCTCGCCCGATACGACCTAGTCGTGGTTGGTCCAGAAACTTGAATCCAGGAGGAGTGATCTCAACACGATGTGCAGTATCGTCAGCTGTAAGCCAGGTCTCAGTGATGGTAATAATATCTGCTGCACACGACTCCACGTAGCAAACAAAGTCAGCAGATTTATTCTTCAGTGATCTAGCATTTTTTTAAAGTCTAAAAACTTGAAATAATTTATCATGTCCCCAAACAACCACTCCACTGAGGAACGAACTTTTCTCATTGCTGAATTGTATGCCTGCATTTGAGGAGTTAACACTCGATTGCGAAATGGTGCCTGCAAATGGATCCTCAAGGGAGAGGCAGGGTCCCCATAGATGCACTTGGCTGCCCATGAAGATCAAAAGCAAACATCTGTAAATTCTGTGGGAGCTGTGAATCCCGAAGCATTCCAGCATCATGTCTTCTTCCTTCTAGGAAAAACTGAAAAAATATCATGTTTAATATCTGCAGTTAATATATGTCAATATTTAGTGAATAATTAGATCCCCATATTTCACAGACTAGCCTCACCCCCTACCATACATCCTATCCCCCTGCAATATTCAGTCAACCAGAAAGCTCAAGTGAAAACAATACTTATCTTTAGACTTACACTTTTGACCAGTCTTAGGGGCAGGCCCCACCCTCCTCAGACCCATCCCTCCTCCTATCGTGAGCACCCGGATCTGCCACTGACTACTATCTTTTACATGTAAGAGAAACTTCAAGAACAGAAGTACTTACCAACAGGGCCATACAGGTGTCCAATAATCCCATTTGGCAGAACTAGAGACTGAAACTTTAGAGCATGAACTCTTTTATGACCGTTGTAGACAATTCTCTGGTTATTATCAGGCCTCGAAATAGGCCTAACTGTTACGTCAACAAAACCAAAGCAGTTCTGCAATGGTGACCCTCTTTGGGAGATAACTCGGGCATAGGTTTGCAAAGCTGGTGGGTTCAACAATGCAGGATTCCAATTGATAATTCGATGACTATGAGCTGTGTAGATGTAATCGAGCAATTCGTTGGTTACCATGCTCAAAACAGGTACAGGACGAGCGAACCGTGGTACCATATCACTGTACCCGCAAGGGTAAGCAAAGCGCTTTAGAAGCATACAAAGGGCTTCTGTGCCCTCGGCTTTGCTCCGCTGATTACAGGTAATCCAGTCTGGGATTTGAAGCGCTTCTGCGAGCGCAGGTATATCTCTCTTCTTCACTCGAAATTCTGCATGGCATTCATCATTTTCCATCTCGTCCAGATCGAAAAGTGGATATACACTGTACAGTAGGTCAAAGCTTGGAGACTTGTACTGTTTGTACAAAACCAGGAGTTCTTCATCGTTAAGAATCCCTTGGTCATAGCAAAGTAAAATAAAATCCCTCGTCTCTTTGAACGAAGTCATTTAGAGATTTTAGATGAGCAAAACCTACCGCGAAGACGCTTATTGGTTTTAAACTTCTCAGCCGTACTAGGTTTGTAGTTCGCGTTGCTTAAAGTTGAATTTTGGTGGGCTACGGCGACGCACTCTCCCCAAGCCTCGTCAACCATGATAGCCGTAGCAGCGCCAGCCGTAGTGATTTGCTTAAACTCCCTATTTTCGAATAACTGACAGCTCATTTTATCCAACTTTAAAATTTGATTAAATCGGACAGAATCGTTACCCCAAAAAATCATTTGGTAATCGAAAAGAACTACACTTCGCCTTCCAAAAAGCCAGATTTTCAGGTCGATTATTTTATTTACCACATAGTTAAATAACCGGTTATTTTTGAGCTATTTTTAATCTTGTTAGAAGGTCGGATAAATTCAATGAGATTGTGTAAATAAATGATCGAGAATTGCTCAAATTGCCGTCAACTCATGTATTGATGTTGTTTTTCAAGATTTGGTACTTTTTATCGGTCCACGTGTTTTCAATTCGGGGCGCGACGCTCCGAGATTCGTCTGAAATTTTGAGCTTCAAAAGCGGCATTTTGGCGAAATTCACTTGTTATCGATTTTCTCCAAAATAAATCGATATTCAGCCAAACGAAGTATGCAGTGCTTTGTTTCACCATAAGGCCTACCTAACTTGAGAATATGAGCCAAATCGATTTTTTGGCTGTTGCCACCATATTTTTGAAAATGTTCGATTTTTGGCCACATTTGCTCTTAATATGCAATGCCTCTTTGATCTTAATTTGGTATTTTGAAGCGGCAGAATCTAAGATCGTGAAACATTCTGTATCACAAGAGTCAAGACAGGTCCTTGATGATTGCAGGTGCTTTTAAATGTGCGAAGTTTTGTCCAACAAGAGGTGCTCACGAACTCGTATACAGATGTGGCGAGTGGTCTTACCAATATAAGTGGCATTACAGCCAGCACACGAAAATTTATAAACGACACGCGAAGGTAGACCTAGCGGTACTGAATCTTTCACACTGAACATGTTTCTGGGTTTAAACGTACTGAAGACTAACTTAACATCTAAATCAGCTCTTCAATAACGTTTGAGTAGTCTTAGAAATTAGACAATCGCTTAGCCACAGGCGAGAACAGAGGGATAATTCAACAGAAACTTTCAAATAAAAAGAAAACACATCTGACAAATTCAGATCCAGAAGCGATCGTTTCGCCATTAGTATTGCATGGAATGCTGGAAGGCAAATCGTCACCCTCTCTGGGGGAGGGTCAGCAATAGAGAACTGAATTTTATTTTCACATTATTAATAGATAAATGAAAATCGCATTCCCCTTTTGTATTCGTTTTTTATAGCTAGAAAAAAATGTTAGCTAAACTGTACTACAGATTGTGACGTGACAAGCGCTCGGAAGAGTGTCTATATGGTAAAATTTACGTGGTATCTTCCTCCTAATTCATGACCCCTCCTTTTAAAAACGCAAGATGGGCGGCTATTTTGAACGATATATGTTATTACGTAATTACGACAATTACACGCATGTCCAACGTTCAACTCTGAGGCTAAGTACTTCTTAGAATAAGTGATGATAGGTAACATTATATGAGATGGGATCCTCTAAACATGAACTAAAGAAATACCAAGATAGCAAGTTCAAAAGTCATTTTAACACTGCTTTTGGATCTTTTGCGAGAGATTGGTTTCTCTTATCGCACCAGAAAGAATTAGCTCAGAGCAGAGTTAGTAACTGTAGTGTCATCGATGTTACGTGTGATCGCACTCTTTTCACCCTGTGTCTGCAGTTGGACATTTGTGAAATTTGAAAATATTTTCAACGACGGCGTACCTGAGGCCATGCAGTAATACATTCGAATCTTGAAACCCCTTCCAAGATGTAAATTTTTTCAATGTGTTCAGTTAACCATATAAAAAAAAACTTCGTTAACTGAAATTAACAAGCCGAACCGCCATATCGCTTGATTAGTCATGCCTAGTTAAGTAAATATTTGGAATTTCGTGCGAATCCTTCGACAAGAAGTTAAAGTATGGGAACCTGTAAATAGCAATTTGTAATAAGTAAAAAAGCACAGGGAGTTCAACGAACAAAGCCTCTCTGATCGGGAAATGGCCCATCACATTCTAACCACATTCCTTTCTCAGTTGCAGATCAATATCGGAGACCTGCAAGACAATTATGGAGGTGAGTGCTAAAGAATTCATCAGAGTTTGAAAACAGCTGAAAAGATTTAATTCAGTAAAATTTAAAAATTGCAACCGTTGTTCATCGCTGTGCCCTTGTTTAGATTTAACATAATGTATTTGGTTGTACAGTTTTCTTGTTCTAAAGCTAAATTTTTGCTGCTAGATAATTAAACCTAGTTTCTATGGTAATGATCAGATGCTTTACATAATTGCTTTGAGTGGCGACGGTTTCGTTTTACTGACCAAAACTTTTCATCACTACTTTTATGAGTTCTGATTCCTTACGGAAAAAAGGGAGACACCAGCTATTGTTCTCATTCAAATGTTGCTCTGAAACGAAAAACTTCATGAAAAATATCCTTTCATAAAAGTTGTCTCATAGGCGCTATTGTTTTCGTTAAGAGCCGCACAAGCTTTGACGTGAGCAACTTACCATTGCGATCCACCAAGAATGTTCCCTTTTATGCAGTGATATTAGTCTTGATTAATTAGATTGTTCACAAGGAAATTACGCTGAGTAAGCGCCTTCAATAGTGCCTTGATTGCACATATCAGCGACAGAATATTCTGAACAAGTTTCGTTCTTTCATTTGAAAAGCATTTCAGGCAAAATGGGACAGTAGTAGAGAGGAGGTTTCCCCAACTAAGAAGAAAAACCACTCAGTAAAGGTCTCCATCTCGGTCTACGAGGGTTGTTTCCATAGAAACAGTTCAAGGTATGTAATCTGTATTTTAGGCATTAAGCACGTTTTATTTTTTATATTAATGTATTGTATATGCGTCGCGGAATTATTAAATAACCGGTTGAAAATTTCCTAACCGGGATTGAGCTTTGTTTGATAAATGTGTCTTGCTGAACACTGAAATGCCTGCTCGAGTGCTGGTGCGGAAAGTGTTGAGTCGTGGACCGCTAACTTCATAGAATCGTACACAGGGTTCACGTCATGCTCAGAGTCCATACGTCTTCCATGTTCCTACTCTATTGATAATTTTACCTTCTCGGTAACTTTTCGTCGGTTTCAGTCAGGTAGCTTATCTCTCTGGTTATTGTTTCAAAAAGTCTATCTACTACTGGTTCTCATGGCGGAAATCGTTTTTGTCTGCATATTTAATTTAGAAAAAGCAGCCTTAGCTGTCGCGTTCCCCTTGCCACGAGACGTAAAATATATAGTTTTGATTGGAAAGTAGGCGAATTCCATTCGCCACGATGAAGGGCTAACGCTCGAAAAAAAAAAAAGCTTTTTAACTCTTTACGGTGGCCAATTTACAATTTCAACCTAGTTCCTATAAGGATAATCGGACTTTGACCGTCCAATCAGAGAGCGTCCTCGCGGCTAATTACTGTTTTACTATACGCTTACATTTGCTTTTGATCCCACAATCCAGCGTCTTGAGGTTCTTTCATGCACTAGAGCATTAACGGGGCCAAGTGAAAACAATTACTGTGGGCTTAATAAGTAAGTCCCTTTGGAGTATTAAAGGTTGCCTCCTCTCTCCTTAACCATCAGTGAAAACAAGTGCGTAAATTAAATTAGTATATACCATACAGTGCTTTTCCAGCGCGCTAATTGGCTGATTCGGAAGTGATTAGCACCTACTACTAAGATCAACCTAATTTCAATTAAAATCAACAATGTTTAAATTTTTACATTTAATTCATTAGCAACTATGCCTCGAGACATTTGTATACTTTTACCCCAGTCAATTCTCACAGCCCTTCACAGTTAAGAAACAAAAAGTAACTGCAGACATGGAAAATATTAACTACAGCAGTATCATCTGGGAACTACGTGAGCGGCTCACAAAAGAAGTGGATCCACACTCGGTAGTGACTTATTTGGTTAATTGCAAAGTGATGACCTCATCTGATAAACAACGCATTGAACAAATCCGTCCACCATCAAAAAGAACGAGTACATTGTTGGAAATAATAGCCATGAAAGGACGAAGGGCATATGAAAATTTTGTAAAAGCATTGGAGGAAGATGAGTGCTTTGTCGCCTATTATCTTGTACGAAAAGGTAGGTTGGTATACGTTTTAAATACTTAATTCTTAAACTTGTCGGATCAAATCCATAGATCGTCGAAGAAAATTCCTTCTATTAATCGCAATCAAGGAACACAATTTTTGTTTCAAACTGAGTTAAACTGTTGCGTCCATATTTGGCAAGGTTATACGTCTCAAAGATGAAATGAAGGCATATTGATTTGGGAACTATCATGGGAAAGCTCATTCAACAATGTGCCTTATTCAAATGTCTGGGAAGGTCAGTTCAAACATTAAACAAAACATACTTGCTTCTCTGGTATGTCTGGTGGCCAAGTAGCGAAGCTTCGAGGGCCAATGTCAAATTTTGAGGAAAATCCGGTTCAGCCAAGGACATTATCAGCCGACATACCAACAAGCTAGAAAGGGTTTTATTCATTTCATAACCTCCATAAATATTCATTTCGTACTTTGAAAGCAAATTTTGTTGTTGTTTCTTTTTTTTTTTTACTTTCTAGAGCAGCGTTTGAGATCAACCTTTTTAATGTCACTACGAGGTGGTTTTTCTTCCATGTAAAGTTATGAAGATGCAACAATGAAATTCTTGGGCAGGTTTTCTCCCGCTAGCTTTGTTTCTTTTCGACGAAATAATGAGCGAACAAATATCGGCGCTAAAGGGGGGTTACTGCGTGATAACTGTTCGGTAATTTTGTACCACATGACGCAAAGTAGCCAATACAGTCGCGCAAAAACTAGTGGGTGGGTTATAATTAGCAAATCATGATCCTTGTTAAAGAGAACTTAAACTGTGCATTAAAATTTATATGTTCTGCTAGGAACTTTAGTTGCAAATGTTTATCAATGATATTCCCAGGAGTAACAATAATATTGATTTTCTTCTTTCGCGACCACACAGCGAATCATAATAAAGTATACCCGAAAATTTTGGTAGATGGTTATCGTTCCTCTGAGATGATTTTTATATACTCTATTAAAATACAGTATTTAATTTACCAAGAAAGTTGTGAGCGAAAACATATTTCTGAATGCGTCGTTCTTTAAAGCATCCAAAAGTTTCTATTTTTCGGTTAGAAATGATTTCAAAAATTCGTTGGCTCTGGTATTATTTCCTCAGAAATGGAAGGATTAAAGAAAGAAGCGACTCGTGCAAGTGAAAAGATGGCGACGTTGCAAGATGAAATTGATCAGTTAAGAAAAGATTTAGGGAAGGAGCAGCAAGAGCACCAAAAAACTCGGCAGGAACTTGAAGGTAATGAATAAAAATCCCTTGGTGCTTCCAAAGGTGGCATAGTGACGATATAACCTTTTCATTTGATCTGATGTAACGTAAGTTGTCACTCTTAACTCGGTGCTCGCAAGCAAAGCTTAAGATGTAGGGGTATCTTTGCTGCCGTCATTACTCTCATCTTTCTTCCTTAGCACACACAAATTGACTCCATGGAAAAAGTGATTCAAAAATTGAAAGTGTCTGAGAGATTGAAATATGTGAAGTTTGGATCTTCGTGCGAAGAAAACGTACTGACATATTCGCCATTGCAAACGCCCAACTTTCTGGATGGCATAGAGCTAATGAGCCCATAAATACTTTATAAAATTTCTAATTGTTAACTTTGTGTGGCTGAGAGAGTTAAAGATGTATCGGACTGAAAATTACAGTGAAGGGTAAGTCTGTCCTAAGTTTCGATTATTCAGCACAAAAGTAACATTTTTGCGGTTTGATCGGAAACTGAAAAAGACAGATTGGCTCGTCAAAAACTCGAAATGAGCGTTCAATCAAAACGTATTGAATTTTTCATTCAAGTTTCTCGCCGTCGTGAAACAGCGGCGCTTTAAAAAGCTGATAACCCCGATGCCAGCCTCTGAGCAAATGTGCACCCACAACCCTCTTCCCCACGCCCCTCTATAGGTACAGTAAGTATTCTGTAAGACGCGTTACGGTCTGTTAACACACATATCAGCCCTCACGATGCAAGATTGTGCACAACTTTCGTCAGCTAGCTCTACTTCATTGTTGAACTGCTTTTCTTTTTAACTATGCATTGAAGAAATAGAAATTCTCACACAAGAACTAGAAAAACAGATAGGAAAACTGGAAGATGTCATGTACACCACTTCTGAGGAGGGAAGGGCTGCACAGTGTTTGGAAGGTAAGAAACGTAAAATCCATTAGCATAAGTTTGCACTAGTGGCAAATTTGTCAGTTAAAAAACACTGCCACGGTTTGGATTGAGTTTATCAAACTGACGTTTTAAGCATGGAAATTCACAATAGGGAAGCTAAAATAAATACATTCGTTCAATTGTAACTGGCAAGGGTGATAAAGATGGATAAGTTGGGAAGTGTGCAGGGAATGTCGACTCAGGGGTGTGGTATGAAACCATGGAGAAAAAAAAAACCACATTCCTGAATCGACTAAATAGAACAAGTTCTGCAACAAAATCTATTATACTGTGTACCTCAGGAATTGAGGTGCAAAGACGTACCCTTTTCATTCCATCTGCTACTTGTTATCAGTTCTGATAAGAATACTACAAATACATTTTAGAGAAAAAAGGCTGATAGTTTCGAAAGAAACTGTTTGGAGCTGCGTCGGTGGGAGTAACGAAATAATTTGGATATATCAACAAAGTTGAAATGGTAAATTGGCCACCGTAACGATTACAAAGCTGACGTTTCGAGCGTCCTCCCTTCGCTCCGACGAAGGGCTAACGCTCGAAACGTCAGCTTTGTAATCGTTACGGTGGCCAATTTACCATTTCAACTTTGTTGATATATCCATTTTAGAGAAAGCGGAGTAGCTATTTATAATACAGATATTTTAAAGCAAAATAGTTGCTTCTAACACCTTTTTTTATGAGAACGTTTTCGAGAGAAGACTTAATATTAGGTACGGTGCGCTGAGTCTGCAAAGGAAAGTTTACCATAGTGTGATGCGGAGTCCTTTGTTACTTTTACTTACTTTAAGATGAATGTTCCATAATAAAATTTGAGGGTCAGGGAGGGACTGGACTTACCAGGAACTACTTACAATACAAATTATGGTTAATGTCAGAATCTCTTAACTGCAGAAACTGCAAAAGAAAATGATCATCAACAAAAAGTCGTCACTTCGAAACATATCCAAGCAATCGTTGATCACGTAGAGGAACCTTTAACGATGGACTTGGGTGCTTGCCTGGAACTTCCAACACCAGTGTTTATGAATATTGAAGAACAGGATGATTTAAGCCGCAAGAAGATTTGGAAAGTGCTCATCAAGTGGAAACAAAGAAAAGGAAAGGGGGCTACACTGGGTATTCTAGTAGATGTCCTCTACAAACTAAAACAGACAGAGGCTGTTGATAAACTGTTAGGTATGAAAAATGGATTCGCTATTTGATGTTCGATAGAGCGGTGACTGAGTTAGAGTATTCCTTCATATAGATCGACCCCTATCTTACGGTGAATCTTCTTATTACATCGCAAATTTCATGATGAGAAATCATGTCAAAACGACGAAAGTAAACCAACTAAAACTAAAAGTCCGTAGCCTTTATCAAACCCAAGAGAAAGGCTTATGAAAGATACATATCTTTACCTTTCAATGGCAACTGTGAGCCATCTTTTATTTCCAAATCGTCAATCATGTACATAATTCATTCTTTTTTTTCTAAGCTTCTTCCAATTCTCCAACGGCATCGAAAGACGGTGAATATCAGTTATTGGCACGCGATAGGAATCCCTTTTTCACCTGGAATTTTTTCCAAAGAGGAACAGAAAAACGATGAGCTCAACTTTTTTATCATGTTTGGACAAAAGCACGGTAGATTTTAGATGTGTATTATAGATGAACAAAAGTAAAGCAAGAAGTTCATGTCTTTCATACGCCAGTAAAATGCCATCGAAGATCATTCTAATTGTGGTTTGACCTTATCCTTCGTTAAATTTCACATTACGTTGTTTTATTCTTATTGACAAATTGTCATCTATCAAGAGCGAAATTATGCTTGAACCATGCATCAAATTGAAACCGTAATAGCGATGGTAATAGGCCGTCCTCTCGCCACTATTTAACAACTATTCACCGAAGTGGAGGTGGCTAGTGGTGGATATTTACCAAGCCGCGAAGAGGCGAGGTAAATATCCACCGCTAACCACCGACATCGAGGTGAATAGTTGTTTTAGCATATACTAAAACAGTGAGATAATATACACCACCACCACCAAAAATTGATTCGAGTGATTTCTTCGCTTGTCACGGATGCAAACCGGGACGCCATTTTTTCCCGAGTTGCTCGAAGGTAATTAGCAAAGGATTTTCGGAGTTTGACTAGCCAATCAGAGCGCGCCTTCAACGCTATCCACTGTTTTAGTATAGACTAAAAGGGGTTATCCCTAATTACATAACACTCGATGCCTATCGTTCCCCCCGAGGTCGTCCCGGTAGACTTTTTTACAACACAGCTAAAGTTTGCTTGAAGAGAAAGTTGTAAGCAAGAACGATCTTCTCGATTCTTCAAAAATGTCTAAGGATATTTCTATTTTGTGGTTAGAGATGATTTTAAAAATTCGTGTGTTCTGGTATTGTCTTTACCTAAACATGAACTTGATCGTTTACAAAAAGTTCTGAACGCCACAGTTGGGGTGATATTTCCCAGATTCCGAAATCTTACCAAATCACACCGCGGCCGGCTCTCATTGATCTGCACATGCCTTCTTTACAAGAAGTTTCAGAGTTCAATTCAAATTGCTTCTTTTTGTTTTTAGTCGTTAAACAATCTAGGTCCGTCCTACATTAGAGATCTTTTATATCTTGAACGTGCCTTTAATTAATATGTTTTTCGCTCGTCTACACAATTTCTATTGTTCGTTTCGTGGGTCAATTGCTCTACACTTGGAAATCGTGCCTTTTCTCGTGTTACTCCTGCCTTATGGAATTCGTTTCCCTTACCAATTAGATCCTGTGGCAGTCTAGCTACTTTTAAGAAAAAACCTAAAACATTTCTTTTTAGGAAAGCGTTCAGTAATAGTCTGTAATCCTGGATGTAATGTAAATCGCTTCTGAATATGTACATAGTTTTTAACACTATATGAATGTTTTTATTATCATTATCATTATCTCTCTAGGAATGGAAGGATTGGAGAAAGAAGCAACTCGTGTACGTTCACAGAGCGCGATGTTGAGAGATGAACGTGATCAGTTAAGAACGAATCTAGAGGAGGAGCGACAAAAGCATGCAATAACTAGGCAGGAACTTAAAACCTGTGAAGCGAAATTAGAGCAGTTACTTATACCTTCTAAAGGTGGGAGACGTGAAAAACAATGTAATGACGATACAGCCTTCATCTCAGGGTTTAGTTTCAGTGTAAGCATGGTGTTTAAGGCTAGACTACGAGCCGACGAAGGGCTAACGCTCGAAACGTCAGCTTTTGTAATCGTTACGGTGGCCAATTTACCATTACAACTTTGTTTATAACTTTGTCATATCCAAATTATTTCGTTACTCCCACCGACGCAGCCCCAAACAGTTTCTTTCGAAACTATCAGCCTTTAGACTACGAGCAGTCTTCCTTTTCGGTGTAGTCCGTTGAGCGAGTAAAAAAAACACAGTGAATTAAAATTGTGGGGAGCTCTGTGAATGAGGAAAGCACCTCACTCCCATATCTTTCCGCGGGGCGCTAGCATTGATTTTTTTTTTTTTTTTCACTGAATTTTTTGACTCGCGCGACGGACTTCACCAAAAAAGAGGGACTTCTCGTGGTATATTTATTGCAAATGGACTGATGACAAAAGATGACTACGTGACCAATTTTTTCCGCTGATTTTTATCGTTACCTTAGTTCCACATAACTTCACCAAAACAGTTATTATGACTCTCCCAGTCTTAGCATCTAGGGTTTGCTATACACTGCCTTAATCATAAATGCACCATACCGCACCGTTTCTTATAAATAATGTCTGTAATGTAATGTTATGGTAGTTACTCTCTTACGGTTTCGTAATTTCTCTCGAAAACACCTCAATAAAATTGTAATGTTAATAGTAATAATAATCCCTCAGCTTCTAGGTTGTATCATTTTTATGAATGGATTTTCTCCTTTATCGAAACAGACGGTCTATTGGCCACCACTTTTTGAGCTAACATTTACTGCGGATATTGTTACTGTGCATCTGTTTTATTGAGAACTCCTATTATCACTTAAATTGTATATACAACAGCGGTGACCTTTCATTTAAATGGAGTGCCTAACCTGTTGATTTATCGCTCTGACGAAGGGCTAACGCTCGAAACGTCAGCTTTTTAAATCGTTACGATGGCCAATTTACAATTTCAACTTAGTTGATATAACCAAGTTACTTTATTACCCCCACCGACACAGCACCACAGCTTCTTTAGAAACTTTCACCCTTTATTGTGCTGATTTATTATCTCAGGAAATGAGGAGTCAAAAACTACGAAACGGAAAGAAGAGAAAGCTCAATCTAAAGTACAACAAGCGAATATAGAAAAAGGTGCGTAATCTATACAACTTAATGAATACATGTGGAAGATACTAATATGGAAATCTGGAGGGGAACTAAATTCCTGTCAACTACAAAACATCCAGCATCTTTTCAACATGTTTGAGAGTTTATTGGAGGATCAAGGTAAAAAGTTTCTCTGAAATGTTTTTTTTTTTATCAACTCAGGAAATGAGGAGTTCGAATCTGGTAAAAACAAAGGAGCGAAAGCTGTGACAAACGCTCAACAAAAGTTGACTTTAACAGGTAATTATTCGAATATAGCTTTCTTGTTAAGGTAGCCTCTAATTTATGTACTTACTTCTTCGCTTACTTGTCATTTAAACTGCTTACGATCTGTAGCATATTTTGTAAAATACATTTGTCTTCACTGGGTCTTATCAAGTTCATATCACGATCGCAGGAAAACACAGAACCTGCCAGGATTTAGAGACGTGCCAGCAAGATTTGCGTGGAAAGTTGAAGCCACCAAAAACCCTCCGCCCAATTTATTATGACCACAGGACTGTCGTAAAGGCCAAGGAAATAATTTTCCCTGGGAGTGGCAGGGAAAAAGATGCTCCTACTTTTAAGACCCCCCTTCCTGCTCTTCCTGAGGTTGGGAAAGGAAACATTGGAAAGAAAAAAGTATGTAATATAGGCGTTACTTCACTTATGTAAACTTTCAGACAAGGCGGAGTGGACCTTAGAACGCGAAAGTAAGAATAAATTTAAACTTGTGAGGGATACACATATATGAAGGAACGACTTACTTTTGCAATGAAACCTTACGAGAATTCAAAAGACACAACAACAACATTATCATATTAACTGTCAGGCTCTGTCCACGCTTTCATCGCAAAACATCCCCATATGAGCGGATCCTACGCAATAGCGGGAGAGCCCCCCACGAGATGCCAGCTGAGAGAAGGAGGAAAAAAAGAGAAATAACGGCTGCGGCGGTCGTATGATAAAGTCTCCATTGACTAATTAAGTCGAGCCTTACGGGAAAACTATGGTACTTGGGACCACAGTAATTGGCTATCGCTGTTGTGGTTGCCTTTCCGTTATTGTTATTGTAATTTATCCGTGTTCTATATTACATGTATTGTTGGTAAAGCTAATAAATTAAATTAAATTAAGACGAACTTCACGACCACGAGCTAATCAAATATTCTCTAGGCTGGCGCCTCATTTGGTCATAAGTACGAAATTCTTCCTCTTTCTCTCGGTGGTTTTATAATTACTGATCACTTTCCAAATATTCATATAGTTTGTATTCGATTTAACTGGTACTTTTCTGTTTTATCATTTATTTTGACTATGTAAAAGGAAAAAATATCTTAATCTAGGTCAGCTGAAAAACCACGCAAGCGCAGGGTATGAGGTCAGATTGTCAGGCTTGCGTGCTCCTCTTGCTCATTTATGCATTAGATTTGAATTTAGTTTCGACCCATGTTTACTGGGAAGTATGACAGTATGTCTAGTTGATGGGAAGGATAAAAAATTAAACCTTCCAGTTTTAAAATGACACCAACATCCCTTTCCAGAGTTTATTAATGAAACAAAATAATTTTACACGATGTTCAAATTTATAATTAAATTCTTGTCTCTAAATGGAGTTCGTTAATTAACTCTTATGTATACCGCACTTAGGGAGCTAACACATTTTAGGATAATGAGAGTGATGGAAAACAAAATAGATACACTGGAGAACATTTTCTAGGCATAAAGCCGTCACCCATATTTTGAAGGGGGCGTGTTTATACAAATAGATTTCAAGTGATGACAATCAGCCTGATATTTTGCCTAATCTTTTCAGCCGTCCTCAAAGATCCTTTCGGAAGAAGAAGAAGAAAACACGGCTAAAAACATGGACTTAAAAGAAAGCAAAGGAAAGCAACAGGATAGTAAGGGGTATTAAAGCAAATAAGTGGAGTGTGATCAAAGGTTTCAATCAATGTAAATCACCGTTGCTTGTCGACAAAAGTTAAAAATTATATATTCACCGAATTGGAGGTGAGTAGTAGTTGCTATTCACTCCCAAACTAGCCAATCAGCGTGCACGATAAGCACCATTCACATTTGTGTTATATTAGAATTAAAAATAGCCTAAGAGTATTAGGAAATCAGCTTGTCACTAGTAAGAAAGTATCCATAGCTCGGCGCCAATTGGGCTTTATGAGCTCGAAGTTCGCGTCGTATGGAATTGGATGCGGAATGCTAATGAGAAAAAAATGGGCGAGTGAACGCAGAAAAACTCAAAATGATGATACAAATGTCAAAGGTCAAAGATTGGGCAGAGGACAAGCCACGTTTGAATGGCTACATAACGCTTGCTGGTTGAATAGCGGAGGTTTTTTCTCGCGCATCTTAACATCGTCCTCAATTCAGTTTCTGCTCGTGAATACTGGCTGTGTAGTTTTTCCAATTGTATTGCTCAAAATCTCGTGGGTGTCTTCTAACAGTGTCGGTTGAGTTTTGTTCTTTAAACAGTAATACGATTCTAGTACTGTTAAGACGGCTGTTAGTGTGGTTTTTGCTTTCAGTAGTATTTGTCACTTTGGTCAGAAACTGTGAATTGATAGAGTCAACAGGATGTGTAGGGTACTTTAGTCTGAAGAAGAGATCTTTCAAACGTGCGCATTCTTTGGAGAAGTATTCCCAAGAGGAAGATAGGTAGTAAGTTCTGTTAAAGATTGTTCTTGTAAGAGCTATTTTATACCGAAAGTCCATGTGACTTTGATAGCGTAGGAGAAGGCTTGAGTTCGTTGGTTTTACTTAGACTTTTGTTCTTCAAACTCTCCATTCTTCAATAATTCCATGCCAAGAAAAGGCAGTGAGTTGTTTTTTGACATTTCTATGGTGAAGTGGATTGAAGAGGATATTCAACGTTCAGAAAAAATGCCGCCCTTTTACAGACAATACGTCCATGATACGTCAACGACTACTCTCAACGAGTCCTCAGCCAATTCTTTTCTGGAAACCCTCAACACCAGTCAGCCGTCTATTCAGCTTATTCCGAATTTTCAGTGATCACGGAAGCTACTACTGTCAATAGTTCAGATATAATATCGTAAATGCATGCAATTTTATCATATATTCCTGTTTTAAAATTAATTTTCCGGATTGTACACCTCTGTTATAAAAAAAAAAAAGTTCCTCCCTGAGGAGGATATAACTTTTTATTGAATAATAAATGCAACGTACTGCACTAGTTCTTGTAACTAATGTCAGTAATAACGTTAATGTGGTTACTCTTGTACAGTTTTGTAGAGTTTTGTGGAGTAAAACTTTCATTAAATTGTAATGATAATAATAATAATAATAATAATCACAATCACAATCACAATAATCATACTGATACAGTCTAACCTGTTATAGGCAGTTATCCACAGGGAAAGGCTCAGTGATCGCTAAATACAATTTGACACCTTAATTTCACAGAATGGGGGCATTATACTTTGACAATCGACCAGTTGAGCACAGGGTGACCGCTTAATAAGGTGCTGCTTAACACAGGTTCGATACTGGTAAAAAATAAAAGCTTCTGTTATGGTTAGAGATGTCTTGTCTATTATTATCGCCCCATTAATGGATGAGAGTGCCATTTTCCTCAACTTTTTTAGTTTTTTCTCACAATTCTTCAAAAAAGACGGTGTTTTGGATGCCACTGTGAAGTTTTTCTTCAAAACAGACGGTTGTTTGGATGCCAAATTTATAGCCAACTTTTAGTGACGTTTTATTTAGAATTATTATAACCATTAAGTGAGAAAAATTGGATACACGGTAACTCGTTTTTGGTCCTTTCTCTGTTGGTCACATTGCTCACAGATTAAAATACAAAAAATAAAAAATAAAAAACAAGAATGTAAGGAGTATAAATCATTGTTCCTTTACTTCTAGTGTACCTATTTCGTTACACAGTTTCCTAAAATGTAAGTTATAACTGACTTGCATACTTGTAATTTTCGTACCCGAAATCCAACGAATACTGTGATCCCCCTCGCATTATTTTCCTTTTAGAACTGAAATAATACTTGTCTAACCGCAGCAATAGGCTGAAGGAAAAATGGCCCACGACCTTCTTAGTTTAAATGATTCACCGTTGAATTCACTCAATACAGTAGGCGCTGTGTTAAAACTCCTTCAGTTGTTCCTGTAGAATATTCTGATTATTAACCTCATACTCTGTTCGACCTGATAAGTCAATACATCTTTTCCAAACGACTTGCTGTCTTGTTTACGCAAGCCCTCAGTGGGGGCGGGACAACCACAAAAGAGATCCTGCTGTTTTCTGGGATATTAAAGCTTTTGTGTCCCTTGCGCAACTTTGATGTTTAAAATCGATTTATAGAGATAATTTTCCATAATGGTTAAGTGAAAATAAGCTTTGACGTCGCACCTCTTTTGTCTGCCTGTCTATTTTGTCGTAAAAATATCACAGGAAATGACACCACTTAGAAACACAAAGCCTTACATACAATTAGCAATTCAAAAACCTTGGGAATGGTAAAGAAAAAGAAATGTGAAGTTGTTTTTTTGTCATGGGAAATTAAAACTTTTTTGTGATAAACATTAGCGCAGAAAAAGGAAAAAAAACGCTTTTACATTCTTAATTGGTGACGTCGTTAAAGAGTTATTAGTTTCTAAACTCGTCTTTTTATCAAAATTGTCTTGCTGTTTTGAATAATTGTTATGGTTTTAATGGAAAAAAACTACGGTGCAAGAAACAGTTTTGTAATATATATTAATTAGTGTCAAGCAGGCTCGGAAAACGAAGGTCTTTAATTAAAGTGAATTATCATTCACGGGTAGAGAATTTAGGGCAGCAGATTGCAAGAAAGAAAGAAAATTTTTTCTACGAGGAATATGGGCAATTGTTTTCCATGGAAGTGGCTAGTTGCTCAGTTTTTAAACTATCGCATTGTGGTCACCTCATTGTTTGTTATATCCTCAATAGGTGAGTTGTTTTTATCCTCAGGTGTTCAAGTTTTATACTTTGTCTCATACTCACATGTTTGGGCTGCGAAACTGTTTTGAACGGGTGAAAACTTCAAGCGATGTTATAATTTGAGGAAATTGTAGAAGGCTTTTGTACAATTTAGGCCTAATTTTGAAGACAAAACTTTAAAGATTAAACATTCAGTCTTACTACTGAAATAATTCCCTGATAATCTTTAAAATCAGGATGATGCGAATCTTTGTCAAACCACTGTGTATATAGAAAACGGTAAAACAAATTCGAGGATGGCGGATAATGGCATGAGTGACTGCTGTTTGCCATGTTTGAGGAATTGTCGTCCGGTTTCACATTTGCTACATGACACTGCAGTAATTTTCTGGCAAAACAGTGATCCTGAAAAATTAAGTCATTTTGAATACGACAGTAATTTGAATTTGCAATTTTCTAAAGTTTATTTTGATTGTAGACAGTGAGCAGACGATTTGGAGACAAACGATTTATTAAAACAAACAAACGGCTTTTTGTCTCTACTTATAAAAATGCCAAAGAGCCCGAACATACATTGAGAAAATGTACTAATGATGCAAACGGCAGACTAATGATCTG